TGGCAAAAGGCCAGTTGAAATTACACGGAACTACAATTTAACTTTCAATTGCTATCCGCTCTCTCGAGTGTAATCAATTGTTTTGTAGTAGTAGAGAAATTGCCTCCGTGACTAACAGACTGATTCAATATTTAAATAAATTATCGCATCGTTACTCGAGTGAGCCTAATTATCTGGCCAAACTAATCTAATTAAGCTGCACGATTTTGTAATCGAATGTCCTACGTGTTTTTATGATACGCTGGTAAACGAGCAGACGGATCACCTGATGGCATAAGCAATCGGCGTCGCCCATGGACACCTGAAACACTAGAGGCGTTACAAGTGCATTATCGGCCTTTTGAGAATTAGTTATTTGAGGATTGTCGGGGATTCAGGGATTGGAAAGGGGGGTAATTGGTAATGGTTTGATTCGGGCAAGAGACAATAATTTATTAATGTGATTCTTAACGTTTTGTTGGTCTGGTTGAATACAGCCATCATTATCATCATAAATTATCAGCCATGAGACGTCCGCTGTCGTTTCTAGTGACTCAGGTGACTCTGGTTAGGTTTGAGAGTCGACCGAAAAAGTAATTGGGAAGAAGATAAAGAAATGAAAGTTTAGAATTTCATATATGTTTGTAAACACAGCCACAACACAGGGAAACAAATTAGTAGGAATGTACACTTTGGAACGAGCAAATAGCTTCGCCAAAGGCCGGACAGATCAACGTTGATTATGCAATGTTGACTATCAAAATTAATAAAATTACTAGTCTAACTGTTTAAAAGCTTTGACTTTGATTGTGATTAGCAAGTTAACACGAATGCAATGCACAAGGTCTTGGGTTAATTTCCTGTTTTGAGCATTATTTTATTTGGTTCTTCTGATATTTTCTCACTAACAGCTCGATATGTGGAACAGTATTAAAAATAATAGAACAGCCGGTCTGTTATTACCTAGGTGCCTACTAGAGAATAACTACGAACATTAAAACTGGTGGATATGTCTGCTCCTTTACAGAACAAGAGGAATGACGTTAGCTCAGGTAAACCTAACCTTATACAGTGAAACTTGGTTAAGTGGGACCTGGATAAGTGAAAAACCTCCATAACTGGAACTCATGCTGAGGTCCCAACACTTTGGCACTGAATTACCTCTGTCAGTGGGACGAGGTAAACCTCTATATCAGGGATTTGTTCTTTCAATTTATCATCATAGTTACCTCTATAACTGAGACAGCGAGTAAATTTTATATGTATAAACCTTTGTAACTGAGATAACATTGTTTGTTTACTCATTCTTATTCTACCCACAAATTCCACCCGTAATTCCAAGTCCACCTCTATTAATGGAAACTCTTTAAATGAGACGGATATTTATTTATACCTGTATATCTGAGACACTCGGTAAGTGGAATACCTCTATAAGTGAAACGACATTGCAGGTCCCTTGATGTCTCACTTAACCAGGTTTCACTGTACTTAGCTACAAAGTCGGTTTATAACAATGGGAATTAAACCTAACGGGATCCTTTCTTAGTTCAATGTCTCCGCCCCGTTAGTTGAGACGTCACATATTTGGACAATTGGCCATTGACTGTCTCGTTGTACGAGTCATAAGAGCGACTGATAAAGAAATGATTTTAAGTTCGTAAGTGTCGGTAAACAAGTTTGAAAATAAATATTCCGCTAACTATGCACATAATGCGGTGCATAAGACACTTATCGCAGGCCCGCCCCGACCACGCCAACAACGCACCGGGCTTAGGCCCGATTTTACAACTATTAGTTAATTCTTAAATTTAGAATAAAATTTTGACAGTTTTTCTTTCGGATGTTTTTTACTCATTAAGTTTCAAAAATGTCTATTGTCTCTACATATAAGCTGACCATGATCTAGATTAATTTAAAATCTAGACCAGAGAAAAGTGAAGTGTAGGTCTACGCGAAGACCGTTTCGAAAGGATTAAGGCGTGAAGTTATGATGATTCACCGTAACAAATATGAATGAATGTCTAGATTCTATCTGTAATAAAATTTATAAATACGAAAGTTTGTGATGATTTTGTCGATTTTTACTTTCACACATCAACTTAATAACTACTGGACCGATTTAGATGGTATGCAGATAGAACCAAATTATGGTTTAATTGAAATAAATGCTTTTGAGTTTGAGTTTGAGTTTGTTACCAGCCTTTATGGAATAAGCCGGTAAACGAGCAGACAGATCATCTGATGGTAAGCAATCGGCGTCGCCCATGGACACCTGGAACACCAGAGGCGTTACAAGTGTGTTACCGGCCTTTTAGGATTAGGAATTTGAAGATCGTTGGGGATTCAGGGACTGCGGGGGGGGGGGGGTAATTGGGCCTCCGGTAACCTCACTCACACGATGAAACACAACACAAGCATTGTTTCACGTCGGACTACTGTGAGGCCGTGGTATCACTCCGGTCGAGCCGGCCCATTCGTGCCGAAGCATGGCTCTCCCAGTTTTCAAGAGATATGCAGCAGTTTCCTCTAAGCTTATGGTGACCTAATCTTCAAGTCACATGTGAGCAATCTTCAAAGGAAAAGCTATTACTCAGCAGAGGACGCCTTCCAGTTCCAGCTGATCATGCATGTTCTCTTTCGCCATGGTCTTAAGGTGGTCTTAAGTATGTACCCTCTTTGGTGCTCTGTTCCTACGAAGGGTACTGTGATGTTATATAGGCTAACTGACCTACCACAACATCAAGACTACGGAAGGTAAACCCTTAATGCGAATAAAGCTGACAATTGCGTAGTCCACAGATTTTTTATTTATCAACTAAAAGCTGTTCAGTTATTATAAATATAATTTTTTTTGAACTCTTATCTCTGTACGGTTCACCGGTTATGATGCGTAGGATGATACATTTATGAATTCAAAAACCTTTTTCCCGTTAAGTCTCGTATTTAGAGCGCTGAGCGTTTAAACAAATGCAGTCTTGTAATTTACGTGGTCTTTTTGGGGAAACCGCTGATAATTTTATTTCCTTAGGTAGGTACATCTAAAAATATCCTACTATACCATACCTACTATACTTACCTGATAATAATACGTTTTGTGGCCCTAACCAAAACTCCAACCTTTAACGGAAACCCTTTTTAAACGTCTTTAAAATTAGAATCGAATGCAAATAAAAAAAAACAATAAGCTACAGAATTTTATTTGCGTCATGGGATTCCCAAAATAGACAATTTAGTTTTAAATTTAGGTGGAAAAGGAACGAATCTGACCACAAAACGAATGAATTTTCAAAATCATCACTTTTCCTCTTTCAGAAATAATAATTAAGCAACAAATATTTAAAGTACTAAGTTAAAAACCTCGCTATCAACCTCCATATCAATGATATGCACGTGAAAGTGTTGACGTTTTTGCAGTGAAGATTTGAATAAAAACTTAATAAAGTCTTTTTTTATGACAAGCCCGCCACAACCTCCCAAAACCGCTGCAACGCCTGTAAGCCAGGATGTACAGTAGATACAACCATGAAAACACCGGAACACTGAAGTCGGCGCGTCCCAGGGACATGAATAATTGTCTTGGTTCCTGCAACGAAGTGAATCAGAAGATATTATAAGAGAAGAAGAAAAAACGATAGTTTCCATGTCCAACGTGTAATGTCTGTTGAATAAATACGTACCTGCTTGTTCATCAACTTTATATTAGAAATAAGTATAAATCGACCACAATAACACGCTTGTTAATTTACCGGAATTTACCGGAAGAGACATGCACTTAGGTATGTTTTTGTCATCATGTTTTTCAATTCTAAGTACTAACTAATGTTATAAATGCGAAAGTTTATAATAGATAACCCTATTAACCTTTTTTTTTAAGGGGGGAAAATCATCGAATGACCGCTCCCGCCTGGGTGAGGCGGGAGGGAGTGTCAGACTCTTACTGACTAAAAACCACCCCGTTCCTTCTCCTACACGTCGAGCCGGGGCCCCGGTTACCCGTTAGGTTCTCCGCGACAACCCTATTAGACCCTAGATGACTAATTTTTATGTTAATGTCCATCTGGTAATTATTTAAAAACATTAGACACGTAGACTGCATCTTTTGCCGAGTGGTCGCAATTGCGACTACCGGGCAAAAGGTCTCGGGTTCGAATGCCGGGTTCGAATTAAAAGCAAATTGTTCTCATTTAAACTTATTGATTCACCATGGTGCCAATGTTCGACAGAGGAGTTGCGATACGAGCAGTCGGCCCATCACATACTCTGGGAGTGTGATCTCTGGCAATATGAACGTAACACTATGTTGAATAATTTAATTGTTTCGTCAGGTGTAGCTTATTACACGGACCTTGTGGAATCTAGAACAAATTTCCGTGCGTTTAGGTGCTTTTGCCATACCTATTATTGGAAGCAAGTAGAGGTATAACAGCTCACACATAGGACCCACTTAGCTTTTTAGTCAAATTTCCGTGGTGCTTGGCGACTGGGCTTCACCCAGTTGTACAGTCTCTTCTTTGTGCCTTTAGGCTTAATTCATTCTGTCTCCTGCAGCAATTCACCGAGGGAAGTGGAAACTATAGTTTTTTCTTCTTCTCCTCTTATAATATCTTCTGATTCACTTCGTTGCGGGAACCTAGACAGTTACTCATGTCCCTGGGACGCGCCGGACTTCAATTTTCCGGTGTTTTCATGGTTGTATCTACGGTAGATCCTGGCTTACAGGAGTTGCAGCGGTTTTGGGAGGTTGTGGCGGGCCTGTCCCATTAAAAGCAGAAGCTAGTTAACATAACTCCAAAGCCCAGAACTCCAGACCTAGTGCTGAGAATTTTAAAATCGTGTCAAAAATATCAATAAGTAAGTACCTATGTAAAACTATTTTTGACTACCTCGTTATTACATGGGACTCGTAACATAAATAGTGAAAAGTGGGTGTTACATTGTACAGTGGCATAATGTACACCTCTGCCTACCCCTTAGGGGATAAAAGGCGTGATGTTATGTTATGTAAAATTATTTTTACTCACCGACAGACGTATCATAAGTTTTCTCTTCACTCTCCATTTTCACATCAAAATAATCACTTTGGTTTAATTTATTATCTAAATTATTATAATTAAATGCATTTTTGGTATTATTATCACCACTGACTAACTTATTTACGCCCGTAGCATAACTAGGGCGCAAAATAAAAAGTAAAAATAAACAAATAAAAGTTAAACGGCCGCACATTTTCACTTTTTTCAATAGCAATATATGAAAACACGGGATAAACCACTTTATAATCTCTTTTAAATCCATCATTTGTTTTATTTTTCTATAAATTATCGTAATTTTAAAAACGCACGCGCGGGAATATAACGCTGTCAAACGACATTTCGCGCCAAACGCGCGGTCAAAACTGAGCGCGCGAAGAGGTCGGTAACCCATTTCTTCTTTCACTATGGTCGATACAAGATGGTTGACTCATTGGCTGTTTGGCTGAGTAAAATAAAACAACGCGAGTCACTTTCCCTTTTACAAATTAAAATTCATATCCTGTCCGATTTAGACTTTAAAGTGTAGACATTTGATGGAAATTCGAGGAAAATAATGGAAATGCGTGAAAGTTTATTTTTTAGAACGCGTCCATTTTATTTTTTTAGACAATTACCAAAACGGAAGCGTTATTGTTTTTGCTTACCTACATCTTTTGTTTTAAAATTCTGTCAATCAAGCAAGCAATCCTTTATAATAGCGTCCTTATTTCAATGTGTTAAGAGTTATTTTCGCATATTAAGTTGACTGGCCCTATTTTGTCCGTCAGTTACGCTTACAAGTAACGTTATGAAATACTCGAGTATTATTATGTTTATGACATGTTAGAAAATGTTAGAAAGTGGTGAAAATAGTTAACTTGTTGTTGATAAAAGGAAAAATAAACTTTGACAGATGACAGATGAGTAGGTACTTAAGTATATTTGTAAACTAGCTACTTCCGCACCGGTTCACACGTTCTGCTCAGCTCCTATTAGTCGTAGCGTGATGTTTTATAGCCTATAGCCGTCCTCGATAAATGCGCTATCCAACACAAAAAGAATTATTCAAATCAGACTTGTAGTTACGGAGATTAGCGCGTTCAAACAAACAAACAAAAAAACAAACTCTTCCACTTTATGTAATAGTATAAGATGTACTCAAATTGTACTATATTATTAATGGACAGGACTTATTAGCGATACGAAATCACTTTTGATCCTATTAACATTTGCATAAGTAATATAATAGACGGGTGGGAAGGTCACCCATGAAATGAACAAACCAAAATAAGTTTGCAGGTGACAGTTCATTGAACAAATGGAGCAAGATGAACTCCCATCATCATCAGCCTATAAAAGGCCACGGCTGACCAAAGGCTTCTTCTCACACGGAGAAGGAATGAGCATTAATCACCACGCTTGCTCAAGTAGGAAAACATGACGGGACACCGTATCATATCGTATAAGCAGCTCAAAATTCATAAATATTGTGCCCAAGAAATCCTAAAAGTGGATAATAATCCTAATAATTATCCTCGTGGTGGCCCAGAGGTTTAAGACGCCCGCTTCTCATGCATGAGGGTGCGGGTTCGAAACCTACCAACGGCACGTACCAATGTGACTTTTTCTGAGTTATATGTACTTTCTAAGATCATTCAGACACTACTGATAAACGGTGAAGGAAAACATCGTGAGGAAACCTGGGCTTATAATTTTTAATTATATAAGTTTGTAATCGCCAACCCGCATTGAGCAAGCGTGGTGATTAATGCTCAAACCTTCTCCGTGTGAGAAGAGGCTTTGCTCAGCAGTGGGCATTTATAGGCTGTTGATGAATCCTAACAATTTATCCATTTTGAGTGAGTAATTTATCCAAAAAACGCCCATCTTTACTGAGGAGCGCATACTGGCTGTCTCCTCCATGTCCACGATCATGCTACATCGAAAAGACGAATATTTTGCTAGACATCTTCACCTACCTACCGATACGACTTTCCAACCATCAAGAAAAGAGCGTATTTCTTTTTAAAAGGCCGCTTACCATCAGGTGATCCGTCTGCTTGTTTGCCTCCTAACTATTCCAAAAATAATCTATTATTATTTTGTGAAACACTAATGATTTAATGGCCTTAGTATTTAAAATCTCACAGTTTCTAATAAGTACCCCTCTTTTCTAGGTCAATCTTATTATACCACTTAACCTTTTTATATTTACTTATTTTTATTCACTTTCAAAGTTTACAAAAAAAAATCGCTAAGTTTTTTTACTTAATAAATTCTAAAATCGGGTACTTTCCAAGTTCAATACTTTTTTCGAACTGTCAAAAACGTCATTTTTCTATGAATTATGTACGAGATTGTGTATTGTGACGTCACGTTTTTTTAGCGTCAAACATGATACTTATTTCTTAAAAAATTGTTGGAAAAATGCTAAAACTAAGTTGGTCATAAAATCAGTTAATGAAAGTGTGATTATTTTTCTATATTTTATTGTATTGAACAGTCGAAATAATTTATTTTTGATTAAGGAAAGAAATTACTCTATGACCGTAAGTCCTAATGACAGTAAATGACGTCAAAGAATGTAGTGTACCGAATTGATATTTCCTGTAGTGGGGGCCGAATGATTTATTTTGATTGATAGTGGAGTGACCAGTGGCCGAATACAGGGCCGTATTCAGTTTTTAGCGACTTTACATCCATCATTATCATACGTACAGCGTTGCGGAGAACCTAACGGGTAACCGGGGCTCCGGCTCGACGTGCAGGAGAAGGAACGGGGTGGTTTTTAGTCAGTAAGAGTCTGACACTCCCTCCCGCCTCACCCAGGCGGGAGAACACATTCGATAATTTTCCCCCTTTAAAAAAAAAATACGTACAGCCACGTACTGTCCACTGCCTCCCAAAGTCCTCCACCAATGACAACACATCGCGAGCTTTGAAGCGACCTGCATACAGCGGCTGTCGCAGACCATTATCAAGACTTTGGCCACCTTGTGAGTCATCATTCATTTTATATATTTTTTGTCCCATCAGCCATCATTTCTACCAAGTTAATTAAACCTAGAGAGCGCTCAAAGCAAGTACCACATTGGAGCTTCTAATTTTTTTTGGCGCCGCCACTCTACTGGCATTTGAGCTCTCAGTAACCAGTGCCTTTAGTCAAACGCCACTTTAGCGCTTGTCTACACAGAGAGAGGAATAGAAAACTAAATGTATGGGATGACACTGACAAGGGTCAAAATTTACGTCAATTCCATATAATTTGGTTTTCTATTCTACATGTAGACAAGCGCTAAATGGCATTTGGCTACAGCTGCGGCCTAGGCACTTGCCTAGTGTGCTTTAGGGAAAATACGGCTCTGGATTCCACGAGCTAATGATATCACTTAAATATGAAGGCTAATTAAAACAAAATATGTATAACTACTTTTTGTTATGAAATGTAGTAATTTAACGGTGCCATAGTGCCGAGATGAATGTTCACAGATAATGTCCAGATGTAGTTACAAGATAAAGTTTTAAATAATAAGTAAAAGAAAGTGAAAATATGTCTAGTAATTAAAGTCGCTTGTTAATTTATGGAGTAGGTAGATATCTCTACTTGTTGTACACACCTTTTTTTTCGGCACACGGATCACGTGATGGTAAGCAATCGGCGTCGCCCATGGACACCTGGAACACCAGAGGCGTTACAAGTGCGTTACCGGCGCCTTTTGGGGATTAGGAGTTTGAGGATCGTGAGATTGGGGAAGGGGGAGGTAATTGGGCCTACGGTAACCTCACTCACACGACGAAACACAACGCAAGCGTTGCTTCGCGTCGGTTTTCTGCTCGGCCGTGGTATCACTCCGGTCGCGCCGGCCCATTCGTGCCGAAGCATGACTCTTACACACTTTTAATAATGCAATAAGATTATGATATTATGTTACTACTAAATTAGGGATTAACTTGAGATTCACAACACAACCAACTCTAACCTAGTTAATAGGAGTTACCTAGAATAAATAAATAAGAAGTTTATACTCACATCACGTTTCTTAGAGAAATGGTTGCAAGGTATGTAGAAAGTACTATTTAGCGTAAATTAGCATGTTAGCAGATTGCATGGATTTGTAGTAACAAATTCTTCTGTACGTCTGTGTGTCAGCGAACTCCTAAACTACTGCATCGAATATAATAAAAGGTTTTGTGAGTTTATGAGTATTTCTACAATAAATAATTGCCTTATTCGATGCAGGGCTCATTGCTTCGAGACGAACGGTTGGAGAACTGGCTGTAGCACTATGTATTGCGGGTTCGATTCTCGCACAGAATTTTTGTTCGTGTGCTTCACAAATTGTTGTCCAGTGTCTGTTTGTGTTGTGTATGTAAAATTGTCCATACAGATAAATAAAATTGGAATGTCTGTTTGTAATATTTAAATAAACCGCTTTTTACTAAATGCTATGAATATACATACTATACATGTACCATAATGACTTTTTTACAATTTTTCTCTGTCTGTTTGTACTGGCTAATTATTAGAAGGATAATTTTGGAAAATTTAAACAAACAATTAATAATCCACGCGGGCTAAGTCGCGGGCAACAGCTAATGTGTTTAAATATAGCCACGACACAGAGGAACATTTTCGTATAGCGCGACGTTTGGTAAAAAAACAAAGAATGAAAAGGAGAAAAAGTAAAAGATACCTAAGAGAAAGAATCTCAAAAATATCTTACCCAATACAGCCTTACAATAACATAACATCACGCCTTTTATCCCCGAAGGGGTGAGGCAGAGGTGTACATTATGCCAGTGTACAATGTAACACCCACTTTTCACTATTTATGTTATGAGTCCCGTGTAGAGGTAATAAGGAAAGAATGAAGAAAGAAAGAATAAACATTTATTGAGCACCAGGCACGATGCAGCATAAATAAAATATAAAAAAGACAATCAAGGTGTGCCAGTGGAAGTAATAAAAACATTGAGTTTAAAAATTAAAACAGAAGAATTAGAAGAGAGACGCTGACAACATGCCTATGCTGAAAGGGTCACCCACTCAGTGTAAGCATTAACACTAAGGGATGACAATACCTTACAATACAGCTTACCAATACAGCAATGGTGCCCGCACCAAATTCAAAACCACTTAATTAATCGGCAGTAGCACTTGCAACAAATCAGTATAATTAATACTGCCAGTTTACCGCCTACCACAGATTATCTAACAGACGTTCGAAAGCGCAAGTAATGATTTACACAGACTATAAAAGTATAAACAGCCAGTCGTTGGCACATTGCGTGTGTCGCGGATGACTGGTAGTGTATTGCTCTCCCCAGGAGCAATAACTTAGGAGTTGGAGATGTCTT